CCTCTCTATTGTCATCTCTCCCTAATTCTGTCTCCTCTCTATTGTCATCTCTCCCTAATTCTGTCTCCTCTCTATTGTCACCACCATCTGATTCTGTCTCTTTACCGTCACCTCCCTCTAAATCCCCCTCCTGACCGATGACGCTGCCGTCTTTCTCCAGTTCTGTCTCCTGTCCTCACCCAGGTTTTGTTGTGAAAAAAATCAAGAAAAAGAAACCAATGATTGACAAGGAGAAAGAGCATCGAGATGCTTAGGGAGGGAAAACAAGCCTTACACATAGTTTAGTATGAAATTATCGATTGAAATTTGAAAGTGACACAAACATAGTAACATGTTACACAATATCAGTTGAGAAAATGAAGGTGTGTGAATCTCCAAACTTAAATATTTGTTACGAGAGTATTTAAAGTACATGACAAAAAATTGCAAACCTAATATTATTGACACCTTGCGTAATATATTAGAAATTCCTCATTTTACTCATTCTGCGTTTATTTATAATTTATTGCAATATCCTATATGAAGTAATTAATAATTTCCAAGGTGATGCGTATTGTGATCACTGTTAAGAGAGCAATATTTCTCACGTTGCTTGAATCCTTGCACATACCACAGATTAATGTTAATTTATTCTATGCAATATAAAATTATATAATAATACACTTACTTTATATTAAGTAAATAAATGTAGCCATTATACACCGTTACCATGAGACTTATCAACTTATCAGTCGTATCTGTCTCTCTGATTTCCGACATTTTCAAACCGAGGGGTGATAATGTAAAATAAAATTAGATAAATTAAACGTTCTCAACTTCTCACTAACATTTTCTGTGGTTGATTCTGCTAGCAAGTCATGAGCTTCACATAGTATTCTGCTCTCAGCTTCCTCTTTCAGCTTAGCATAATGCCACTCTGCTTCTCCATAAAAAGTTTCTGCTTCTGAAAAATTATGATAAGTAAAATATGAATAATGTATAAAAATAAATAATGATAATAGAAAATAACTTGCTTTGATTGACTTGTTAAGTACTTAATTTTTCAAGCCAAGTTCATTTGTAGCACAGCATTGCATCAATTTTTAAAACTTGTGTTTTTTGGACATTGTCTAAGCATTACAGAAGGATGTTTTAAAAAATGCTGACCTTTTAATTCTTCAGAATCAAATCCTTGAAATTCTTCGTCACCTTCCACTTGATCATTTTGGCTCTGCAAAGTACATTTTAACTGCAACAATATTTAGAAACTATTTGTTAATTAAATGTAACATATCGTCCATATATTATCCGATATTTTCCCATTAAGGTTCCTGATGGTTTAATCAATTAG